ACGACTGCAAATTAGCTAATTCTGACCACATTTTTGAAATCTACACCCGAGTTTACCACTCTTATCTAACCGCTACTAAATGATTTGGGTTGTTGAATCCTAATGACAGAAGGCTACATTCTGGTCCAAGTAATACAATAAACTTTAACCTTTAAGCTAAAGGTCACCTTTGACTACGGTAGGCGCAAAAGAACAGATTTGTACCTCAAGGATAATTAAAGTTGGGACGTGGCGTCTCATCATTGGTTGAAAATCGCTGTCACACACCTTCATGTCCGCTTAAGTACGCCAGAAATTCTCCACTCATTCTAAAAATCGCCGCCTCAAGGAAAGATGGTGAAGCTTTTCTGTTGTATCGTTGGTGTCGCGGGAAGCGCGTTCTCCGTGGAAGTAAACGAAGGCAAAACCGTAGATGACTTGAAGGAAGCAATCAAGGCGAAGAAGACCAACGACTTCAAAGAGGTTGATGCAGACAAGCTACAGCTCTTCCTGGCGAAGAAGGGTGACGCGTGGCTGCGGGACAACGAAGACCTGGACACGTTGCTTCAGAGCGAAATCGCCTTTTCATCGTATTTGCACATGCGTGCGTCGTGGAAGCTAAGCAAGCCGACCCTTTTCGGGCCTGACGTTTCGTTAGGAGAGGGCGTAGTTCACGTGCTGGTGGTGGTTCCGGTGGGTGCTGGAGTTGGCGTAGGACAAGACGTCAGCATGGATGTTCCGGCTGCTGTACCGATGGGTCCCAACGTGAATCTGTCTTCGTGTGAAGATCTCCTCGCCTTTTTGGAAAACGACATGATTAACAAGGAAGCCATCGTGTCACGTCCTCACATTTTAGGAGCCGACAGTCTACAGTTTCAATTGGTTGGAAGGGAAAAGGCGCTTATGAAGACAGCGAAGTGCTTCCTCAATATCATCGCGCGTAGTGGCACTGCTGGAACAGATCGCACGAAGCAGGTTGTGCCTGTTTGCTCTGGCATTTCTGGCTTGGGAAAAACGCGTATGCTCGAAGAAGGTGGCACAATTTTGCAAGAGATGGGGCTGGATCCTGATCACGTTGTCCGTGTGATTGTTCCATACTATAACGGCTTTAGTCCCCAACCGGTCGAGGAAACGATGCCGATCGCGGCATCATTTTCGTGGCGGCTCTTGTATCGATTTTTCCTCGACAAGAATTGTGCGCTTGCATTTGACAAGTGGTTTAAGCTGCGACTACCTCGGAATGGAGGTCGGTTGACATTGAGTGATGCCATCGAAGTCATCGATCGCAAGCTGCGTCGGCCAGTGCATGGCAAAGAGAAGCTGTACCTCTTTGTTGGCGTCGATGAATATCAGAAGATTGAAAAAGTAAATGCTCCTCGAAGTGACCCCGACTCGTCACTCCTTGGTGAGCTAGTGGAAGCCATAGTTGCATTCTTGTGCACGAAGTCGTCGAATCTGGTTGTGCTACCCATGTTTGCAGGGACAGATTTGGGTGTGATTGCAAATTCCTTGAATTATGTGACGGAGCGGCTTCCCATGACTCTCTTGACCTTGGATCAAGTATTCACCTTTGTGGAGAGCAATGCAGATTTTGCAATGCTCCTGCGACAGTCTCAGATTCGTCGCCATTTGCTTATGCTTGGAGGTGTGCCACGATGGGTTGTCGAATACCTGTTGGAACTGAGGAGCTGCTTGCAAGGAGGTGTCGTGTCATTGGAAAACATCAACAATTGTTATGATGATGTCTGGACAAATTTCGTGGATTACTACTTGAGATCACCCTTAGTAGATCTTCAAACGCTCGTTCGCTTGGCGGCCTTTGCCGTATCGGGCTTTACGGTTAACCCATTCAGCACGATTGATGGCCGCTTGGAATGGTCAAGGCTTCGAGATTCTTCGCTATGTTTACTCAGTCCGCGCGCATCCTCAAACTGTGTGGCGTATGATGTTCGAGTTCCGTATCCGTTATTGGCGAATATTGGATTTACAAAGACACTGGCAACCAGAGCAGAACAGGCCTTCGCGACGGCGTTGAACGACATGAGTGAAATGGTGGACTCAACAATGTTCGCCCTTCAATCGTGGCAGTCGTGGGAGATGTTCGGTGCCTGTTTTTATGCAGTGAGAATCAATGCGTTGCTGGTGCTTGGGCACTCGACCGTGAAGCTGGGAGACCTTCTACCTAGCGCGCGGATGTCTGAAGAAACACGTCACATTTCCGTGAAACTTGTTCCGTCAAGAGTGGTTCAGTGTGCGGAAGCCTTTGGTTCCTTAACCCCTCAACTCATTTCAAACAAATTCAATCAACAAGAAAAGTATAATTGGACGTCGAGTGGTTGCATTGCAGTGAACGGCGATGGCGAAGCGGGCGTCGACATTTTTTTTGCGCTGAATGATGCTGTGACTGACAACGTGGTGGTCTTTGTAGACCAGAGAAAGCGACAGTTCGGTAAATTTCAGCCATGTCACGCAAAGGAATACCTTGGCAAGCTGAGTGTTTGTCCAAAGTTTCTTGTGGCACTTGGTGCGCGTTTAGTGAGAGGGGTTTTGAATTGCGATTCCTTGTCGAATCTTGCGACGTATGATGTGCCGCATGACTGTTTCCTCTTGAGCCCAGACGAGAGTGAGCAGTTTTATGGAACACTGGCGTATCATCCAGCGTGTACGCCGTTCATCTCGGTCAACTCAGCGTGCAAAACAGCTCTCAAATCAGTACTTCGAGGCACTATGAAAGCTGTTGATGAAGCTGCCGAAGCCATCTTGACGAAGAGAAATGAACCCAGTGGAGGTTTCAGTAATTCCGAGGATGTGCGTTCTTTTATCAAATTTAAGCGGTTGAAAGTCGACTTTGATGACGAGTATGCGGAGTTTCAATCGTAAGTGACAAGAAACCGAGACTAAAGTCATGCTCGATCTGACAATACTACTAGTACCGTTGTAAGTCTGATTGAGCCTGCCTCAATTATTTCACTGCAATGTATTAGTCGGAAGGCTAATTCATTGCAGTGAAAATAAAGTGGCAATATTTGAAGATTTTTTTTATGTTTTAGCTTGTGATGAAAACTTACAAAAGATATTTCTAGTATCGTCATAAATTATTTAAAGCCCCTGCTTCACAAAAAACTCAATCCTAGCTAAGCAAAACTGAGAGCCAACCACTGCTTGGTTGGTTGGCAAGTCCTTGGGATTGCATCCAGCTCACTCTTTCTCATTACCAATTCACCATGCCTTTGACAGCACCTTCAGCAACCAGCAGTGTATCTTGGAAATAGTGATGTGATGTTGCTCTTATCAAAACAATAACGTATTTGCCAATGTCAAATGTTTTCCTGTAAGTTCTAATTTCACAAATAAGCATGCAGATGTATTATCGGAAGGCCTGGATTGAGGTTCTATCGGGTTTCGACAGCAGAGGGCCAATCACGACTAGATTGATGCTTGACGTGCGTAGTTGACGGGCTGGAGAAGGTGACAGCATTAAATGTTTTGACACAACACGCAACGTATTTCATGATGGTTTCCCCTTATTCTCTCCACTAATTAACATTCCTAAAAGAATGAGTGCGCTTCGTACCTCGTCTAATGACAAGTAAGGTAAGACCTCGGACAAAACACGTACAGATCAATGGGCTATTATAGTTACATCATGTAATTTACTGACTATATCCTCTGCGAGGATGGAACACCCCGTGTTCGCGAATTTGCCCCCGGCGCAGCAGGACGCGCTTACTAAGCTTATGTCCTTGCTTGGCCCGGAGGGCATGGCTCATCTTGCATCGCAAGGTCCAGAGGCGGTCACTGCCAGGCTGGAATCGTTCTCCCGCTACGAGAACGCGCTCTTGGAGCATGTCCAAGAGAAGATGAGCGCCGCAACGGCGGCGGCGTCGATGACGCGTGAAGAGTCTATGAGACTGAAACCGCTCATGGTGAGCGTAAAAACCTTCGAGGGGAAGGATGGAGAGAATCTCCTTTTCTGGACCCGTGAGGTCGAGATGGCCATGGGATCGGCCCTGCTCCAGTCTGAGCATCAGCGCGTGGCGCTGGCTATCTCCAGGCTTGGAGGTCGCGCTCGCGAATGGGCACTAACGTGCGGCACGTCTGTTGACGCTGCATTTCCCACTTGGGATCAGCTGAAGCAACAGCTTTCGCGCGTGTTCGCGCCGCCTAATCAGGCGTACCGTGTCCGGTCGAAGTTCCTTGCGACCCGCCAGGGTAAGAAAGAGTTATTGGACTATGTCCAAGAGTTGAGAACTCTTATCGCCGGAATGGCGGCGGACCCTCTTCCGGAACTGGTCAGTGTGACCG